GTAGTGCCTAAGGCACTTGACTGCTAACCAGAAGGCTGGTGGTTCAAATCCACCAGCCACTACTTGGAAGGAAGGCTGGGCAATCTGCTTCCGTACTGATACCGCCTCGGAAACCCAAGGAGAGGCCGCTATGAGTTGAGTCCAACTCGATGGCACATAACAACAACAACAACATACATCTTCTGATGTCCTGACTGCTGCTTCCGTTGGCGTCGATTGTAGAACCAAGCAATGTGAAGTCTTTGACAACCTCAATCTTTTCTCCATTTATCGCTTATAGGTCCAGTTGTAAGGATTTCTGTTTTCTTTATATTGAGATGTAATCCATACTGCAGACTGTATTCTTCAATCTTCATCAGTAAGTACTTAAATCATCCTCACTTTCAGCAAGCAAAGTTGTGTTGTCAGCGTATTGCAGGTTGCTAATGATTCTTCCTCCAATCCTGATACCATGTTCTTCTTCATATAGTCCAGCTTCTCGGATTATTTGCTTGGAATACAGATTGAGTAAGTATGGTGAAAGGATACAACCCTGACCCACTTCCTTCTTGATTTTAAATCATGCAGTGTTCCCTTTTTCCGTTTGAACAACAGCCTCCTGGTCTATGTACAGGTTCCTCATGAGTACAATTAAGTGTTCTGGAATTCCCATTCTTCTCAATGTTATCCACAATTTGTTATGATCCACACAATCAAATGCTTTTGCATAGTCAATAAAACACAAGTAAACATCTTTCTGGTATTCTTTACTTTGAGCCAAGATCCATCTGACATCAGCAATGATATTCCTCATTCCACATCCTCTTCTGAATCCAGCCTGTATCTCTGGAAGTTCTTTGTCAATATACTGCTGCAACTGTTTTTTAATTATCTTCAGTAAGATTTTACTTGCATGAGATATTAATGATATTGTTCAATAATTTCCACATTCTGTGGAATCACCTTTCTTTGGAACGGGTACAAATATGGATCTCTTCCAGTCAGTTGGCCAAGTAGCTGTCTTCCAAATCTCTTGGCATAATCGAGTGAGTGCCTTCAGCAGGGCATCCGTATGTTGAAACATCTCAATGGATATTCCGTCAATTCCTGGAGCCTTGTTTCTTGCCAATTCCCTCAGCACAGCTTCAACTCTTCCCTCAATACCACTGGTTCTTGAACATATGCCACCCCCTGAAACGGATGAAGATCGACCAGTTCTTTTTGGTACAGTGACTCTGTGTATTCCTTCCATCTTCTTTTGATGCTTCCTGCATCATTCAATATTTTGCCCATAGAATCTTTCAATATTGTAACTCAAGGCTTAAATTTTTTCCTCAGTCCTTTCAGCTTGAGAAATGCTGAGCGTGTTCTTCTCTTTTGGTTTTCTAACTCCAAGTCTTTGTACATTTCATTATAGTAATTGGCTTTGTCTGCTCGAGCTGCTCTTTGAAATCTTCTGTTCAGCTCTTTTATCTTGTCATTTCTCCCATTTGTTTTAGCTACTCTTCACTCAAGGGTAAGTTTCAGAGTCTCTTCTGACATCCATTTTGGTCTTTTCTGTCTTTCTCGTCTTTTTAATGACCTCTTGCTTTCTTTGTGGATGATGCTCTTGATGTCATCCCACAATTCTTCTGGTTTTCGGTCACTGGTGTTCAATGCATCAAATCTGTTCTTTAGATGGTCTCTAAATTCAGGAGGGATATATTCAAGATCATATATTGGCTCTCCTGGACTTCTTTTAATTATCTTCAGCTTCAACTTGAATTTGCATATATGCAGTTGATGGTCAGTTCCACAGTCAGCTCCTGGCCTGGTTCTGGGGGAAGATATTGAGCTCTTCCATTGCCTCTTGCCACAGATGTAGTCAATATAATTCCTGTGTACTCCGTCTGGTGAAGTCCACGTGTATAGCCACCGTTTGTGTTGTTGAAAAAAGGTATTTGCAATGAATAAGTCGTTGATCTTGCAAAATTCTATCATGCTAGAGACTGGTGGAACCACTAAGACTATGGTCCCTAGCTGCCCTTCAGGTCTGGAATTTAACCCACACCTATGGCTTCCAGCCAAACAAAACACAGGCATAAGAGTTGAACATGTACCTGAGGTAGATACACTCCTTGGAGAGAACAATCATGGGAGAAAGAAGGGCTGTGTATGCACAGGGAGACAGCTCAGGGGGCAGGAGTGCCTGGAGGGAAGGACACAGGTAAGAGGTAACCATGGGGAGCAAGTGGGAGAGGAACCATTGCATTGGGGTAAATTGTGGTCAATGTCATGAGACAACGTGTGTGTGAACTGCTGTATGGAAAGTGAATTTGCTCTGTAAACTTTCACCCAAATCACAATTAAAAAAAAAAAAATTCTATCAAGCAATCTCCAGTGTTATTTCTATCACCAAGGCCAAATTTTCCAACTACTGGTGATTCTTCTTTGTTTCCAATTTTTGCATTCCAATCACCAGTGATAAGCACCACATCTTGACTGCATGTTCGGTCAATTTCAGACTACAAAGTTGATAAAAATCTTCAATTTCCTCATCTTTTGCTTTGGTGGTTGATGCATAAATTTGAATAACAGTCGTATTAACTGTTCTTCCTTATAGGTATATGGATATTATCCCATCACTGACAGCACCATACTTCACAACAGATCTCGAAACATCTCCTACTAGGTTGTTCAATACATGTACACTGAGAGCTCTGGGTCAACAGTCTCACCTGAGAAAGGTTGCCTAGATGCCACCCAATGTCATGCTCCTATCTGCTAATGCAGGACAAGAGCTCTGGTGGTGCAGTGGTTAAAGTATTTGGCTGCTAACCAAAAGAATGGCAGTTTGAATCCACCAGCCACTCTGTAGGATAAAGATGTGGCAGTCTGCTTCCATAAAGATTTACAGCCTTGGAAACCCCATGGGGCAGTCCTACTCTGTCCTACAGAGTCTCTATGAGTCAGAGTCGACATGATGGCAGTGCACTTGGTATTCTGGGTTTAAATGCAGGACACTCCCTTCGCACCGGCTAGGATACAGAAGCAAAGAGAAGAATTAAGCAGAAAAGAAACTGGAACATAATCAAACCTTGATGATTTGGCTGAAAACTAGTCCTCCTGACCCCCCATGAACAGCGGAAGGCTAACACTGTCTTCTTGTACCAGATGGGACACATATGGTGGGATGCTACCAATTCCTTCCCTCTACTTCCCTTCCTGATGGGCCTGGATCCACTACTAAACGCAGAGGGAAGCCTTTACTTTTGCCAGTGCCTCCTTCCATCCATTCCAAGGAATGTGCAAAAGTGGCCACTCTCCAACTCCTGGGGCATGTGGCTGGGCTGAGGCAACAGACCCTTGGCAGGAAACTAAGCATCTGTCTTCCTCAGCCCAGCTGTTGCCAGACCTCTCTGCTCCCCACCAGGACCACAGACTTTGACTACTTGGTGGAGAAGATGGTGAATGACAGTCTTATACTTGCCCAGTGTCCTTCACCTGTGAAATAGTATGACTACTTTTCAAGCAGGAGTTAAATAAGACAGCTTCCATGAGGTGGTGACAAGAAAAAGAAAGCACACCCATAAAAAGCCCCCATACAGCCAGCTTGTCTCAGGACCCTACACGACCATCTGTACAAGTTACAAACACTGGAACCCAGCATCTTCAACAAGTGTGTCAAAATCACATAGAAGAAAAAAGGACTTCACCACAAGTCAAGAGCTAACATCCTTCATATAGAAAAAGTTCTTACAAAGTCATATGATGAAAATCCCATTAGAAAATCAGGCAAAGGACATAAAATGGTAACTTATAAAAGAAATATAAATGGCATTTATTGTCATTCCTTCCTGAAATCTTAATAAAATGTCAGTAAAGGAATAAAAGCAGGTATAAACCCCAAAGGACAGGCAGACGTGATGACAACATCTTGGAGGAAGGGATGCGCATGCACAGCTAAGTGACTCAAGTGTGGGCGTGCTCTTCTCAACCATGTGGGGGAGAGAACCAGAGGAAGCCAATGCTTACTGTGAGTCCCCAGAAAACTCAGAAAAGGCGAAGAAAGGGAGTGTCTCTATGACAGGAATACAGACAGAAGGGACGAAGTCTGAACAAGGAGCAGCTAAAAAGAACCAGCCAATTGCCATCAAGCTGACCCCAACTCACGCTGACCCCTGTGCACCACAGGTTTTTCAAAGGCTGGTTTTTTCTGTAGATCTCTAGGTCTTTCCTCTAAGGTGCTGCTGGATGGACTCAAAACTCAACATTCTGATCAACAGCCAAGCAAATTAACTGCTTACACCACCCAGAGAGCAGCCAGACTCCTATACCTCCTCCTCCAGGTCTGTACAACCTGCAGGCCAGGCCCTCACCCTAGCAGAGGGCAGGAGAGGCCACACGGCCCAGACTGAGCAAGACCCAGCAGAGTTGAGAGGTGGTGTGAGCAGGTGCTATATTGACAACCTGACTCTGAGCAGTGGGGCCTCCAGCCCCTTGGTTCCTCGCGGCTCCTGGAACCTTAGCTGGCAGGTATAGGTACTACCTTGTCCACCACCCAAGGAGCCACTCCTAACTACAGTGGCATCAGAAGAGCCTCACTTTAAAATGTAAATGGAAGTATGGTGCTCCATCAGAAAGCCATCTTTATGAGACCAAATGGCCAACAACTACTCTGCAAAGATAAGGAGGGAGCAGAACCACCAGAATGCAATGAAAGAGAATGTTGACACAGGGAGAAAAATGTCATCAAACAATTTGTACAGAAACTGTCAAATGGGAACCTAATCTGCTGTGTAAACTTTCACTGAAAATATAATAAAATGTAATTAAGGCAAAAAAAAAAGCGAGTGGACATTTGAGAAAAGATTCTAATATAAAAGAGGTGATTTTTTTTTTCCTCTTCACTCCAACAGGTATATATCTTCCCCACACAGGTGGAGATTAATACAGTCAAGTATTCTGATGTCTTCATGGAAAGACTATCCAAACCTGCTGTCTGACTTACATACTAAAGCACCTTAAGAAGCCACTTCCACAATATGCAGTGACAGCCGGTTTTCACACTGCCTGCCTCCCATCAGAAGGACACAGGTTCTCTTGCTGCAGCCGTGATGTAGACTGTTAGGCAGAGAACAGAGAGGGAGCAAAGCAAGTGTTTCCAGGTTATGGTGCCGACGGAGCAGGCGTGTTGAAGTGGAGCTCCACAGGCAGTGTGAGCTCATTCAGAGTCGAGGTCCACCATGATCTGGGGTCAGCGGTCCACAGCTGGCACGGCTGCTGCTGCTGCACAGAAGGTCTTGGGCCCTCTAGGCACACAGCAGTTAAGGGACAGGCTCCAGGGTCAGACAGTCTGATGAGTAAGCATCACAGTGTACACCCCTTACTTAGGGGCCATAGTTAGGTAGGGTAAAACAAAAAAACCAAACTCAATGCCGTGGAGTCGGATCCGAGGCGGTATCACTATGGACGAAGATTGCCCAACCTTCCTTCCAAGGAGTGGCTGGTGGGTTTTAACCTCCAGTCTTCTGGGTAGCAGTCAAATGCCTAGGAACTATGCCACCAGGGCTCCCTAGGTAGGTGAAGTCACTGGTGAGTCACTGAAAATGCTTACGAGCTATCATCACATGAGCACTTGGTGAAGGGTGATGGCAGAGAATTACTAGTAAAGCACCTTGTGGGCTGCTGTGGTGGGGTGCCACTGAGTCGACTCTGACTCACGGTGATCCTACAGGACACAGCAGAACTGCCCCAGAGGGTTTCCTACACTGTAATCTTTACAGGAGCTAGGTGGGTTCGAACTGCTGACCTTTTGGTTAGCAGGAGAGTGCTTAATCATTGTGTCACCAGGGCTCCTTCCTTGAAGGTTAGAGACACATAACTAATGACTCAACTGTCAGTTATTGTTATCATCCTAGTAACTGACATAAAGTAACCTGGATCCAAATCCCAACTCTGTCACCTTTGAGTAAAGGTGATCCTTAGTTCCCTCATCTATAAAATGGGCCAGAGGATGGCTAGGATAAAAGTCAGATAGTAGCAAGTGTTGGCAAGATTTGGAGAAATCAGAAATCTCATTCACTGCTGGTGGAAAGCAGTGGGGCAGCTCCTCAATTAAACAAAGAATTATCGTATGACCCAGCAATTCCACTCCTATATCTATACCCAAAAAAACCAAAACCAAGCCCATTGCCATCAATTCTGACTCATGGCGACCCTGTATCACACATACAGTTTCCAAGGCTGTAAATCTTTATGGAAGCTGACTTCATCATCTTTCTCCTAGGGAAGCAGCTAGTGGGTTTGAACCACTGACATTTTGGTGAGCAGCCAAATGCCTCAACCACTTACTACACTACCAGAGCTATTTATATACCCTTTAAAGCATTTTACATTCCTCCTTTGACACCTGTTCTAGGTATTGACACAAACACTTGTATACACATATTCACAGCAGCACTATTCACAATAAGCCAAAGGTGGAAACCACCCAAAGGTACATCAAAGCAATGAATGAATGGATAACAAACCGTAGTCGCTCTCTGTACAATGGAGTACCAACTGGCCGTCAAAAAGCATGAGGTACTAACACAGGTACAACCTACATGAGCCTTGAAAAGGTGAAGATAAATGCAAGAAGCCAGTCGGAGAAGTTCACACATTATATGCTTCTGTTCATATGAAAGTCTAGAATAGGCCAATTTTTAGAGACAGAAAGATCACTGGCTGCTCAGAGTTGGGGGAGGGGAGCCAGACACGGAAGTGACAGCTAAAGGACACGGTGCTTCTTTGCGGAGGGGAGGGATACGCTCTGAAATGGGCTGTAGGAGTACCTGTGAATACACTACAAACCAGTACACTGCACTTTTTAAATGGGGGACTTGTATGGTACGTGAACAGTATCTCAAGAAAGCTGTATTTAATAAAAACAACTGCAAAGTTCCTCACATAGGACATGAAGCATAGTAAGCAATGTCCAATAAATGTTTGCATTATTAGTTAAAAGCCCCAGACAGGTTTCTAGAGGAGCCCTGATGGCACAGTGGTTAAAGTGCTTGGCTGGTAACCAAAAGGTCAGCAGTTCAAACCCACCAGCCGCTCCATGGGAGAAAGATGTGGCAGTCTGCTTCCATAAGATTTATTCTGTCCTATAGGGTCGCAATGAGTCAGGATTGACTTGACAGCAGTGGGTTTTTAATAGGTTTCTCTAAGCAGAGGAAAAACTCAAAATCATTCCCTACTGATTATGAGCCAAGAGTATAATTTTCATGTAAGACAGAGAGCTTTAGTTATCAAGGGCAAAATATAAAATTTTATGTTCTCCCACTTCTGCCCAGTGTTTAGTATGCTTTAGTTTCCCTTCAAACAAGGGGAAAAATGGAAACTAGCCCAAACAAAAAAGTCCCTACTTCTTAAGAGAGTTGCCTGTATTGTCAAATGGTTTTAGTGTATTACCAATGTAAAAATATGTTCAGCTCTGTATTTCTAAATTATGATGTCATATCATCAAGTCCAGGAGCTCTGGTGGCACAGTGCCTATGGCATTTGACTGCTACCCAGAAGGCTGGCAGTTCAAACCCACCAGCCACTCCTCAGAAGGAAGACTGGGCAATCTATTTCCGTAGTGATGTTGCTTCCGAAATCCAAGGAGGGGTTGCTGAGTCGGATCCGAGTTTGGTTTTGGTTATCATCAAGTCTAGGAGTTCTTTTATTAGATATTGTGTCCCAAACAGGTCAAGCTATGTTATCAGACAACTAAGATGTCTCCCAAACCAAAGCATTTTATAAAGGAACCTAATTCTCAGTTGTATTTAAGAGTAAATGAAAAATCCTGAGTACAATAAATTCTTAGTAAAGAAACCCACCAGTGGGCCCTTAAATACCTGCTAATGCAAAAGGCACACAGTCCAAGGAATTACTAGGCACAATTTTATGTATGTTTTAAATTTTTGTTTATTTTTGCAGTGTCTCTCTAGGCACAATCACAATTTTAAATCCCTCATCAGACACAGTTCCATCCGGGAGAAGTTGCTTGCATCTCTCAGGCACAAATTCTTAAAACTGTGTCAGACCTCTTCATCTCAGGGATGAAGGGGGAGCTGACACAGCAGCATGCCATCCATCATACAAATCAAAGACCTGTTTCCAAAATTCAAAATAAACTTTGGAAAAAATAAAAACAAATTGACTTTGGACGGGAAAAGGTACAAGAGCATTTAAATTTCCATACACCATGGGAGTTACAAGTCTTACCTACAGTCTTATAAAATGCAATTCATCAGTACATTTCCAGTAAGACTGATAGCATTTCAAACACACCTCTGAAAGACAACGTAACAATAGGTTGGGAGCATAGGCTCAACTATGAGGTACTCTCTGCTGGGCTCGGTGAAAGCCTC